TTGAAGTTATATTTATGAAAATTGGGATTTGGGCTTTCGATTAAAAATGAAGAAACACGTGTTTTAGGATTTTTGAAAATTCCACCCTCTAGGGGGTTAAACAGGGATGATAATTTGTATTAAAATATGTCATTTATTAAGTTAAATCCTTGAAAATTTGTATTTAGGCTTTCGATTAAAAATCAAGTAATACGTGTTTCAGGATTTTGGGAAATTTCACCCTAAAGGGGGTTGAACAAGGGTAAAACTTCGTAAAATATCCGGTTTTTTTTAAGTTAAATCTATGAAAATTGGTATTTGGGTATTCAGTTAAAAACAAGATAGCACGTGTTTCAAGATTTTGAAAGAATTCTATCCCTAAGGGGGTCAAATAAGGGATGAAAGTTTGTATAAATATGTATAGTTAAATATGGAATGAAAATTTGTATCAAAATTTGTCATTGTTAAGTTATATCCATGAAATAAGACTTAAAATTTACGGATTTTAAATAAGTTATAAAAGACGGACTTTTTATTTTTACTACTAAGTTCATAATAAATTATGTGTTGCTATATTTTGTTAGTAAGTTTCTTAGCCCTTCTGCGTTTTGAAATAGTTGTGGATGTCAAACTACCACGCGAGCGAAGCCGTGGGCAACAGCTAGTAATAACTATAAAACATCATAAAACAACATACTATGATAATGATTTAATAACCTTTTTTTTGATAAAAATTTGTTGAAATCTTTAGCTATGAGAGGTTTTCCCACCTTTACAGCTGATGGAAACCATTTCTTATAGATGTAAAATAGCACATAGTATGCCAAAAATTAATGAAATAAAATTAAAAATAATATTGACTTTGATTTTTAATTACTATTCAAGAGCCGCAACTATATGTAAATCTTTGTACATAATTTTAATTTTCCACAAATTTTAGGTGGGACATTAGATTTATAATCTAAATAAAATAATCATTGCTTTCAAAACACAATTGGTTTTTAGTTATTCTCTAATAATTAAACTTAATTAACAACGGTTTTTTTAATACACCCAAAAGAATCATTTCTTTAGCAATACTGAAAAATTACTTTCACCAAATGCGTAGTTAAGTAAGTTTAGATAATCTAAAATTCATTACAAATTCAAGACATTTCTAATTTTTAACCTTTTTGTATTATAATTAAGAGCAGTTATTTAATCGAGAAACTCATTTGATATAGGAAGCAAAAAAAGGGGTTTAATATATTGGAATTTACATTAACTACTTTTTTTTTAAGTTTCAATCTACTATCTACATCAGGTTTCTGAATCCAGTATTGATCATCACTTGCCTTTAGAGATAGGTATCATTGTAACACTTCACTCAGTATTGCTCGCAGTCTGTATGAAAACCTAATTAGATTTTTAATACCTATCAGAACAAAAATTTTACAGAAAACTCATAAAATGTAAACGGCATTTTTTTTAGTTATGTAATTAATTACATTTAAGATTTTATACATACATATTTGGCCTCGACACCTGAAACTGACATGTTTACACAGCTTCGCTTCCAGCCTCAATATTTTAGATCTTCACGCTGTAAAATTATATGTACCTACCGCAAGTACGTAACTATTGTACCAAAATATATTGAATTTTTTCTTTTAATATTAATATCGAGCGATCAAGATAATTTGTAATCGAGTCACCTTTGCATCCGAGAACGTATGCAACTGTAACTGCACGTGAAACGTCAAATAAAATGACAAGTCAAAAGGTAAAACAGCAAAATGGGCTGGAATTAGTCGCCGACGTATAATAATACGAGTAGGACCGCTCTTTTTTGAAAGTAATTTATGAATTTGGTTATTATAATTACACATTTTGGATCATGCCATTTTACTTTTCGACTTGTCATTTTACTTGACATTTTACAGACATACGTTTTCGAATCCAAGGTTGACTCAATTACAAATGATCTTGATCGCTCGATATTAATAATAATAAAGTACAGTACTCATCACGCTGTTGTCTTATATTTTAAGTTCGGGTAGAATAAGATGATTACCCCCCACGGTGGTTCATGGGGCTTGCGGTAGAGATGCCATAAACAAATTTGCATTTCTTAGGACAGGCACGTTTCAGAGGTTTGTAGGAAGAGATGGTCCGTAACAGAAATTTGTTTTTTTAATTAATTCTAATATTCAGCTATATTTTGAGATTGTTTCTTTACAACTCTGCATTATCACTTTAGTATTAAATTAATATATAAATTCCCAAATTTTTGCCTGTAATAAATTAAAAGCCTACCACGAAAATTCCTGAATACGGCTCTTTTGTAAATCTTAAGGGTAGCTTGTAATAACTAATGATACTATAGTCTACAAACAATAACATGTTTAATATACCTTTAATCGAATTATTATTTTTATGTTAACTTACCTTTAATTAAACAAAAATAATTGTTATTTTTCTATCACGTGACAGTTTTCCTGCTTTCTGCACAAATGCCTCCGATTTAACATTTATTTAAATTCAAATTGTTGCTGAATTATTGAAAAATTATTACCATATGGGTCTAAATAGGTCTTAAAAACATTTCACTCGCATTTGAACTTCTTTTCTAAAAATTTGGGGAGCAAGAGTGACAAACAAGAATAGCGTTTTCATCAAGATCTGAAGGGTTTTCAAAGCTCGACACGAAGATTTTTGAGATGAAAATATGTTAGTAGATTACTGTTGGATTGTTATGATGAAAACTGATCCAAAAAACTTTAATAAAAAAATGTAAAATAACTCATTTTTAATTTGTTCTTTGGTGGTTTTTGTATTTTTGTTAATTACTTATTTCTTAAAAGTAACATGGTGAACTTTTTTAAATAGTTTTATTTGAACTCAGTGCCTCAAAATCTACAAGAAACTATAACTTTCAGCTAAGATATAAAAATCGTGTAAACTAGTGTAATTTTTTCTCTGCGTTTTAAATCCCAACACATTGACGTTTTAGTTTTTTGACAACGATGTCGCTTTGACAGAAGATTTAACCTAAGTTAAATAACAAGAATGTTTGTAAAAAAACATAATTTTAATAAATGGCAAGTCAAAAAAACAGGTTCTGAAAAAAACAGTCAATTTTAACAAAAACAAACATTATTCAATTAATTAATTAATTGTCAAAGTGACATCGTTGTCAAAAAATAAAATCGCCAATGTGATGGGACTTGAAAAGCAAAGAAAGATTATTATTACAAGTCCAAAAGTAAGAAAAGAATTAACTTTTCTTTCCACTGAGTCAGAATAATGAAGTTTTGATTACAGATTTGCTTGTTTCTGATAAAGCAAAAACAACCCTTGCTGTTAAAGTGTTATTTTATTTACTCAAAAGAGTTTTTAAACAAATAGTTTAACATCTGCTATAGAAAAAAAAAGTATTTCCTTTGCTTTTTTGGCGTAAAATCAAAGGTAAAAATGTGTTTCCTTTTGACTGGCTATTATAAAATGTTAAGTTCACAGTTTATTAAAAAATTCTGACATTTAAAACTAGTCCTACAATCTTGATTTTTGAAAGCTGTAGATAAAGAACCTTAAAAGTCAAGTCAAGCTAAAAATGTTTTTCCTTTGCAGTTTTGGCGTAAAATCAAAGGTAAAAAATTTTTTCCTCTTGTAAACTTAATCCGGGAATAAACTGTATACTTACAAAATACATTTCTTAAATAAATTTATGTATTTTTAAGTTGATCAAGCATGTTTATTATAATCAGAATTTAATGTATACGTTATAATGAAGTACTTTTCACAAAAAGACATTTTTCGGGTCCGGACCAACTTCCTAAATAAGGGTTTTTCGACATATTACATGCTCTCCAACTACCTAGTTAGTCTGAAACGCTATTGCGACAAAGCGCAGCCCGAGTACGAAGTTAGAGTGGTGAATAGTTTTTTCCCCGGGTGTACCACCAGCAGTGAAAAATTATTACGGCTGACCGCAAAGCTGCCTAATCCTCAATAAAGCTTTACATATGTCAATCCCAAATATTCCTGGTGACGACTATAATAGAGGCATTTGAGTTGTTGTAAATAATCCAAAAGTAAACACTATCTGGGACACCACATCAGAATGGTCCGGATTCCTCAGTGATATTGTTATTCACAACCACCCTAATTGTTAAGAGCAATTTGGCGTCTGAAGGTTTATGACAGTTCAAATAGCATGGCGCGTAAGTACTGTACAAATATTAAAAATGTTTACAGGAAGGTGTGAAGCAATAAATACAAAAATATGCACAACTATTAAAAATGTTTACAAGCTGATATAAAGCAATAAATGTGTACAAACCAGCAAATCTGCAATGGCAAGATGCATCAACATTGTATTGATTCTCGAAGGAGTCTTCCGACGTCTTTTCACTATTAAAACTAAGACAGTTGTATTCGCAATGGCGGAAAACACCAACAAAATACTGTACACTATGATGGATAACTGATGTCCCTCATTAAATCGCATACTTATAGGTAGTTTGTGTTCTGTTGCATTGTCTAGAGAAGTTTTGGACCAATCTAACAAGTTTCTGTGGTCCTGCACAGTTTCACTAGCACTCATCGGGTCCTTCATTTTCCAGAGAGTCTCACTAAAGTTCATCACTACAAACACATCTGAAACAACCTGGAACAAAATACAATATTTAGTCTCAGAATCAAAGGAAATGTAACATGAAATTACTCAAAGCTTTCATGTATTCGATCTCAAATATCAAATATTACGAAATAAAAGCTACATTTAGCAATAGCAATAATAAATTAATAGTTTCAATTATTTAAATGTAAGTGTTGGTTTACCACTATTTTCTCTTATATTCAACTTTTCAGTGTAATTTCAAACCACAAATTTATGATGGAAATATTAACACGGCAAGATTCCTTTTGAAGTAGGCTAAATTATCTTACTCCAATCTCGTTAACCTCTTGTAAACATCCTTTGTAATTTGTGAACTAGGTATAACTATTAAAACAGCGTTTTGTTTTTCCTAACATTCCCTATAAAGTGTTCAATATTGTTAATTAGAGAGTGCAAAGAAGATTTACATTATGTTATGCAAATAATACTACCACTTAAGTCAATTATATCAAATATTTTTGTTTGTTTGTGGTTGATCTCGCAATACTATTATTCAAAATTATAAAGTAATAATAAAATTATCTTGCATGTGAAAATTTGGAAAGTAGGTATATTTCAACTTCATACAGTTCGGGTAGGGAAGTGGCCGTTTCCCAGCCTGAACTGTCATTAATAGACAGTTTTGAGATAATTCTCAAAACTGTCTATTAATTTTGACGACTTTAATAGATTATTAAGTGAAACAAACTGGGACGAGGTGCTCTCATAAAGGGTTCTGTACTTGGGCCTAAACTTTTTATTATCTTTATAGCAGAGATCCATTTTTTGCTTACTTCTTCTTGTGCCATGTTTGCCGACGACATAAAAATTTTTGCCCAACCTGAGTCAAATCATGACGATCTACAAAGTGATACCTACTGACAAATGTATAATTTTGCATATAGGCAAAAATAATACCAAACTTAAATACAAAATTGACAACATTAATTTAACATCTGTACAAAGTCATACTGACCTGGGAGTTGACATAATTTCTTTATTGTCATGGAGTGATCATATCAACAAACAAATAAAAAAGCAAACGCCAAAATTTAGAACGTTCAGTTGGAAAAATAAATTAGTTCTTACTAAAATTTTTAAGACATACATCAGACCAATTCTAGAATATGCAAATGTAGTTTGGTCATTTGACAACCAACATAATCTTACAAACATTGAAAACACTCAAAGGCGAGTTACTCGATTTATTTATGGACATCGAAGACCAAGCTACGAAAGTAGACTAATAAAGAAACTTAATCTTATTTCTTTAGAATCTCGAAAAAAAAAGAGGTGATTTAATATTCGCATTTAACGGAATGAAATTCCACCACTCTATTTTCAAAAACTTCATTCACTTGAGGCAAAACGAGAAACTCCGTGGTCACGACTTCACTATTACCAAGCCTAAAACACCAGTTAAACAAAATTTTTTCTCCTCAGGAGACGTAATGATTGGAATAGTTTGCCCAAAACTGGCCATCAATCATATCATTTTAGAACAAAATTGATCAATTTTTCAAATTTAAATAAATTTCTTCAAAATCACACGCTCAACTATTTATTACAGAGCTAAATAGCCTAACGGCTCTGCTCTTATCTAACGTTAATGATAATAATAATATTACATATCAACTGATAAAGAAGTGACCACTTGCCAACCTAAAATGTCATATGACATGTTTTCCAAAATTTGATGAAAACATAACCAAAATGTCTAGGGACAAAAACAAAAAGTAAACAAAATTTGTAGCTGTGGAGATAAGCTGCTACCTATCAATTTTTTTACCAAAATTTTCACTTGGTAATCTCCGTTTAAATAAAACAAACTATAGTTGATTCTAACAGTTGATTATTATTTTACATAATCCATTTAGACAAAACACACGTGTCGGGTTTACGAGTATGGACCAGTTTCATAATTGAATTTAAAAGAGCATTATATTAAATATTGTTTAGAATATGCTGACAAAAGTTTCACAGTCTAAACCAACATTAACTTTAAGTTCCTTTAATTCGATTATGAAACTGACCCTATGTGAGAAAATTGCCAAATTGTGTTCAACATTGCGATATTATTGATCTATCCTATTTGCCTCCAACTCAGATTTTTGTACCAACCAAGAATGTAAAATTTGTTAAAATTGCTGCATAAAAATATCATATTTTACCTTGAGTGGAGTTAATGATTATCTTATTTGTTGTAAATAATATTAATATTAATAATCAAGCAGTCTGGCGAGATTTTATTTCGAAGAAATTGAGCAATAATATTATTAAAATCATTAATTTGATCAAAATACATTTTTTCTCCAAGCGATAAGCCCGGAAATATGGTTTCGACCTAATTAATCTTATCAAAACTCATTTGTCTCTCTCATGAGAAGGTTTTGAATCAAGTAAGTAAACAAATCAAGAAACCAAAAATCAACGGGTTGCAGCATCTTTTGATGCTGATGAAGTGGATAATTGTATATAGGGTGCGCCAGAACTCGCGCCCCAGAGAAAATTTTCAAGTAAGGTAAGATACCAGAAACATGAAAAAAATGTTTAAAAAATTCTATCTGTCAAAAAATTTTGACATTTATTTTTTGACATTTGACATTTTTTTTTGTCTATTTAATGATACTGATGATCTTGTATATGTTTTTTTACAATTATTTAGTAAAGGTACAAAAATTTTGTCAATAACAGCCACAAATAACAGTAAACAGAGATACAATTTAGGATACAGCTTTCTTGTTTCCTCTTTTAATAGCCTATAGCAAAAAAACTTGGAAAATTATTTTTCCAACAGAAATATATAGAGTCAAAGTGCAAACTTTAAACCCTCATAACTTTGAAATTTTTATAGATACAATTTTTTTAACATTTTTTCCATGTTCCTGGTATCCTACCTTATATGGCATTTTTCTCTGGGGCGCGAGTTCTGGCGCACCCTGTATATGTTAACAATAATTGAGGTAACATATTGCTTTTCCAAATATTTTTGTCAAATACATGTGTTCACGTTGAAATATAACGGCTGTCCCAGGCGGGTTTGTATATAGGAAATTAATATGGGAAATTGGATTTTATTTTTTTCCGGCTGCAGGAGTAACAGAAATGAAAATCTTATTAATGAAGCTTGTAGTGTTCGAAAAGGGCTATCTTATCGATATTTTTGTCGATTCTCCAATTAACTCCATGTGGGCAAAAACGGTCCTCGAAAAATCGAAATTTGAACTTGCCGGGTTAGCGTTACTAATAAACGAACTATTAAGTCAAATGCTGACGAATTCCTGACAAATTCTCTTTTGGCAACAATGACTTAATAGTTCGTTTCTTAGTAACGCTAACCCGACAAATTTAAATTTCGAGGATCGTTTTTGTCCAAATTGAGTTAATTGGAGAATCAATAAAAATATCGATAAGATAGCCCTCTTCAAGTACTACAAGCTCCATCAATCAGATTTTGATTTCTGTTACTCCTGCGGCCGGAAAAAAATAAAAACTAATTTTCCATGTTAATCTCCTATATCCAAACCTGCCTGGGTCACCCGGTATATATGTCCGGCACAAGAAATACGCTGTATAAAAAATAGCTGCTTCATGATAAACTCACATTTGAGAAAAATTGTTCAGAATAAAAACTAAAATCCACGAAATGAAAAGGCTTGCATTTTTAATAAATTAATATCAATCCAATATTTTTATTTTTGTTAAGTTCAATTGTTAAACCTGAAAATTCAACATATGAAGTAACCAAATATGAGATATGTTAGATTTAGAAAAAAGGTAGGTATTAAAGATCTCGTTTAAATCCAATGTGAAATGTTATACTCTTTGAAACAGTTCACAGATTTGTTTAAAAATACATTGCAACGTAGCGGCACTACAGTAGATAGATTTATTGTATTGATTCAAATCTTTGGTTCGTTGAACATTATAATACATTATAATGTAATTCATATTAAACAGCCTACAAAATGTTGAGAAGTGCTTTAGAAAATTAATGACAGTTATACCAACTAAAGTTTATATTTTAATGAATTGCTGGTGGGGGTAGTGTGAATGGGTTCGTCCCGCAAATGGTAGATTTTGTTAATTTTATACCTAGTGGAATGTCAGAAAAAAACAATACAATTTCACGAGCTATATGCCCAAAAATTTTCAAGAATGCCCTAAAAAAATTTATTTTAAGGTGCCGTGTCGTCACAACCCGAGCACCTCCTACTAGCTTTTTGATTGGTTCACTAACCTGACGCAGCAAAATAACGAGCATCCTAGACGTAAGCGAAAACGAAAAAGTTAGGTTATATTCATGTTGGTCCAACGTATAACAGCGTGTGTTGTGTGTATTCTCCATTCGCGAAGACCTTGCCACTAAGCCATATACCGTACCCTTGTAAACATGTCATTTTGTAGAGCTTCGTTAATACTTTCAGAGTGGGGAAATCGGGGGCAAAATGTTTTGGGTGCACTGGTACACAGTGCTTCAGAAGTAATGTCACAAACCCGCCTCTCGAGTTGTGGCTTCATTTTCAATCAAATTAATTTTTTTACAGTAATTCCTACTATCCAAGTCAACGAGTGAGGTTTAAATTTCTAGGGTGGCTCTAATTATGCTGCTGAGTTGGATATATCCCAGGCAAAAATTTGTCCTTAAGGCCCGTCCGGAGCAAACTTGGCCTTCAGAATTTTACAACACTGGTTCAGCTGTCAATCTGGGATCGGTAGCAGTCATAAACGACAATCTAGTGGAAGAACATAATTTACAACACCCAAATTGCCGCACGCTGGTTATCTGTATGATTTCGAAACTTTGCTGAGACGGTTTTGTTGTGGTGCTTTCAGGTATAAATTCGCCCAAATTTTTATTAGCATTGTTGTAATATTGCTGCCCGATTTTAGATTGCGAATTATTTAATTTTGGATTACCTCTTGAAGTTATCGACTTGGATAACAACAATCTATATTTCGCTAGTTGTAAAAGTTCAAAAAAGCGCTGCAATCCACTTTTGTTTTTG